TGAGAACTATTTACTTGAGGTAGATAAAAGAAAGGCTTGGAGAGGTGTCAGTGCTAATTCCTTATGTTGCTCCCAAGATCTATTTGAACTAAGTGTTCCTTCTTTAGATGCATTCTAAATTGGAATTCCGTGTTTGCGTCTTTTCATAGTCACCTTTGGTTTAAGGATTCAACTTCAAACCTACAACTTATTTGATCTGTCTTGTTTTTATTTTCATTGGAAAAGGTCATAGTTTTTGAGTTCTTTTATTCACTATGTGCTTTTTATACTTTTTTGCAAGTCCTAAAGATATTGTTTGAAATCCATATATTATTGTATTTATAAAATATTGAAAATGGCAAAGCATAGAAATCTGACTCAACGAGAAACAAAATTTCTTGTCTTACGACTTCACTTTTTAAAACCCTGGTTTCTTTTGATAAAGAGTGTGAAGAAGAATTCTTCATCAACTTTAACTCTCCTTCCAGTTCAGCAATAGCTTGACACAATTTTTTGGTCTGTGGAATATTGGTTTATGCCGTGCAATCATTGTTTGGAAGAGGAGTTCTCTTCAATTTGAAATTTCAAAATGGTTGTAAACTTTGAGAAATTGCAACTGCTTTTTTTCATTCTTTCTTCGCTTTTGTAGTGCGGATGCCATAGAACGAGCTTTCCAGATCCTTGACCAAATTCCTGGGAGAGCAACTGGTGCATACAGCCACAGTCAGGTGAGTATCTTCTCGAGATTATTCCAGTTTTGCAGAGGGTTATGTAGGTTTAATAAATTTATAACTTTTTATTGTGTTCCCTAAATACAGGGTATCAAAGGATTGCGCGATACAATTGCTTCTGGTATTGAAGCTCGTGATGGCTACCCTGTGGATCCAAATGATCTTTTCTTGACTGATGGTGCAAGCCCAGCGGTAAATTTTATTTATATCCTTTTTATTTTAATATCTTTTCGGAAAGTAGCTTGTAGCAAATATCACGTAGTTGGTAATGCTGGTTCTTCTCTTTTATTCAGGTTCACATGATGATGCAGCTGCTCATCAGGTCAGAGAATGATGGAATTCTCTGTCCCATTCCCCAGTATCCTCTTTACTCTGCTTCAATTGCCCTCCATGGTGGAACTCTTGTACGTACTGTTGCTGAAATAAAACTGAAGATTGATGTCTATACAAATGTTACTAAATGCCATGTTTGACTGCTCTTATGAGAGCTTTTCTTGAAAGTACCACTAGTGCATGCATTAATCTGATCAACTTATTCTTTAAAGACCCTTTATTTGATTCTTGACCTTTGAGAAGTTCTTAAATTTGCATATCATCTGGTTTTGTAGGTTCCTTATTATCTTGATGAACAAACAGGATGGGGGCTTGAGATCTCAGAACTTGAGCAACAGCTGAAAACCGCAAAATCCAAGGGTATTGATGTTAGGGCTTTGGTTGTGATCAATCCAGGCAACCCTACTGGGCAGGTAGTCTTATAATAGATTTTGGAAGGCTCATTTATGATTTTTCTTCTGAAATAGGAACATAATAAACATCTTTGACAAGATGCTGTTGCAATAGTATATGATATCTTTCGCTCCCCCAAAATAAAAAAGAAAAAAAGAAAAAAAGGGAAGATAAAGGATAAAAAAGAAAAAAATAGAAATAAGCCCTATTTAACCATTTGATGTGGTATGAATATTTTCCTATGCGTAACTATAGGTTCTTGGTGAGGCCAACCAACGGGAAATTGTAGAATTCTGCAAGAGGGAAGGCCTTGTCCTTCTGGCTGATGAAGTGAGTTAATTATCCTCTAAAATTCTTCTATGCTTGATATGACAAGTCTTTTGCTTCCTCAGCAGCTTGTTGACTCTGAACTTGTTTATTGATGTTTCACTATCAAATTTTGACTTTCTGAGCAATCTGGGGTTGTATTGAACTTCAACGTTGTAATTCTCTTTCATAATTTATGGAACTAATACAGGTCTATCAAGAAAATGTTTACGTGCCTGACAAGAAATTCCACTCATTTAAGAAAGTTTCCCGCTCAATGGGATATGGTGAAAAGGATATCTCTTTAGTGTCTTTCCAGTCCGTGTCAAAAGGTACATATTTCCCTTTCCTTTGTCATTTCTTTGGGTGGTGGGTCCGGGTGGTTTAAGAAGGGGGATAGGGCTTCTTATTCAAATAAATTTTGTTCTTATTTTTCGTTTACCTTGGCGGCTTTAGGATTCTATGGAGAGTGTGGAAAGCGAGGAGGTTACATGGAGGTCACTGGTTTTAGCCCTGAAGTGAGGGAACAGATATACAAAGTGGCGTCTGTCAATCTGTGTTCCAATATCTCTGGTCAGATACTTGCAAGCCTCATCATGAGTCCCCCAAAGGTTTGTATTGCTATTTCCCAATAATGTGTTTGCCTTGCATATTCCCTGAGGAAAAGGCTAAAGAGAGCATGGGTACATGCAGGTGGGAGATGAATCATACGTGTCTTTTTCTGCGGAGAAAGAAGGAATACTCTCGTCCTTGGCAAGACGTGCAAAGGTTAGTGAAAACTGGCATATAGGGCCGTTGATGCTATTATAATTAGTTTGTTCATTTGAAGTAGGAGAAACTGAACCTGAACATAAGAACTGCTTAATATAACAACAACAACAACCCAGTGGAATCCCACAAGTGAGGTCTGGGGAGGTTAGTGTGTACGCAGACCTTATCCCTACTCCTCCGGAGTAGAGAGGCTGTTTCTGATAAGAACTGCTTAATATAGCAAGCAAAAAATGATTTCTGAAAATTTACTTCAGTAGACTTCATATTTTAGCTTCATTTTTTGAGTTTATATCTGTCAACTTGTTAAATATTCCATTTCTCATATTTTTTTTCCCTCATCTCTTTTAACAATACCGTCAGACACTAGAAGATGCATTAAATAGTTTGGAAGGAGTGACATGCAATAGAGCAGAAGGGGCTATGTATCTCTTTCCGCGTATTAACTTGCCCGACAAAGCAATAAAAGCAGCAGAAGCAGCTAAAACTGCACCAGACGCCTTTTATGCTAAACGCCTCCTTAATGCCACTGGAATCGTTGTTGTTCCAGGCTCTGGATTTCGTCAGGTAATTGTTACATTTGTAGCTTTGCCATCTTGTCAATGCCATTATTAATATTGATATCCTTTGGTAATAGTTTCCGACCATTTTCAAAAAATTTGCATGAACTTTTCACTTGAATGGTAAAATGTCGCCAGAGAAAAAGCAAGCATTTCTGATTATCTTGTACATGTTGGTCTCTCTCTTACACTACTGGTTTTTGCTTCTGTGTAGGTTCCTGGAACCTGGCATTTTAGGTGCACAATATTACCACAAGAAGAGAAGATACCAGCTATTGTATCTCGTCTTACAAAATTCCATGAAAAGTTCATGAGTGAATTTCGCGGTTAAGGAATCGGGACTACCTCCTAACGGATCCTAATAATAGAAAATTTTGAATAAGCACTGCCGGTTGGTTCTTGGCTGCGGATGTTTTTGTTTGGGCTCTACTTAATAGTCGAATTGTCAGGACTGTAATGTCCCAAATTTTGGGGATTGTTTCTCATTTTCTGGTTCGGATTCGCCCTTCCTCAGTAGTTGAAGCGTATAAGCTTCAGCTAAAACTGTAGCCTGTTAATTTATCCCAAGCCCAGACGTGCAGTGGAAATATAAATGTGATTTGTGCAATACATTTATCATGTAACTAATGCAGCAACTTCTCAAATCATCACAATTATATCATATCTAAAAACCTAAAATAGTGGATTCAGTTCATTAACAGATTGTTACAAAAGAAAAATCCAGAGACTACTACTAGATGGGGGTGTACAAAGAAAACCGACAAACCGTTGCCGATAATCCGAGTCAAACCGAGAAAAAAAACTCGACTATGGTTTGGTTTGATTTGGTTTGGTGTTGGAAAAAAAGAACTCGACCATAATTGGTTTGGTTTGATTTTAACTAAAGAAAGTCAAACCGAAATTTTTTAGATATATTTAATATATAAATATACATATTGTGATGTAATTTATAAATATTTCTTAAAAAAAATTCATAATTATATCTTTTAAGGTATTATTTCAATGTTCGACTTAAAACTTTTGAATGTTCCAATAAGTTTTATAGCCATTAAAATTAGTAAATTAAATAATGCTAACAAAAGCCCAAACCAAAATCAAATAAATACTAATGCTAACAAAAGACATTCAATTCAATACTACGAACGGGAATGTATTGAATATCTATTTTTGGTTTTGCAATAATTTAGATAAAAATGCATAACCTATTTTTATTTATTCTTTAGCGTTTAATCATGTAATTAATACTCCCTTATTAGTCTACTTATTTTAGCATGACTTAGTACTTTTAGATTATGTTTATTTTTATTTTGGCTTTTTAATTAGCAATATTTATATTACATAATTTTATTGTCTTTATTGTTGAATATTTAGGATAATGCCATGACACATCTCATATTTTGTATTATTTTCTTGGAAAATACTTTATATAGTTATATCTTACTAGGATTAAAGAAATATTTTGAGCACAAGTTATATGTTTTATTTTACGAAGATTTTACTGGAAAAAACCCCCGAAAAAACCCGAATAACCCGAAGACCCGAGATTGAAAAACCCGAGTTTTATTGGTTAGGTTTGGTCTTTAAATTTAATAACCCGACACAATTGGTTTGGTTTGGTAATTGTAAAATCCGAACCAACCCGACCTATGTACACCCCTTCTACTTGATAATGGATGTAAAAGGAACAACGAAGAAGCCTGATCTAACATTCATAGCTGATGTATAATTAGAGACACTTGGGTTTTGTACTTTCCACTTTAACTCAACACATGCAGTATTCAAACAATTGCATTATTGAGAGACTTTAAAACTAATTTTTGTTTTCTTCCTAGTTAGAAAAATGTGGCGAATGAGAGGTTATATACCATATATCCATATCAATTGTATTATTGAGAGACCCACATGCAAACTAATCAAACAGAAAAATAGTGCTATCAGCTGACCAGATGATCAGTCATCACCAACATCAACAGTTAAAAGATAAGCTGAACCCAATCCCAGAACCATATTTAGCTCAATATTTTCTATACAACTTATTATTTGGGCCAGAGTTTTTCTGAAGCTCCACTGCAGTAGTGCATTTCCTAATTTAGAATCAATGGCTGTTAGATACTTTCTTTCAGCTCCTACACTTATTCTGAATTCATCTTCGTCCGAAAGGGAAAAGCCTTCCCACAGACTCTTTGTGCATGCAAGCAATAGCAAAATCTCAATCAACAATAATACAATCACAACTACTTTTAATCATCTTGGTACCAGATCAGCTTCCAACATCAAGCTTAAGGTTTTACTCCATGCCATACTAATCTGTAACGTATCGGTCTTTTTCTTTCTTTTTTGTTATATATATTTTCCCTCAATATGCTCTGATATGTATAGGTATTCGAAGATCGGTCTAAGGGGATAGTTTGTTATAAAGATGAGAATGGAGAGATCACCTGTGAAGGATATGATGAAGGTCCTCGTTTCAGCCAGCAATTCCCAAGTTTTTCTTATCGTTCGAGGTAAGTAATGATAATAGACTTAATACTGACTGATGAATGGTGAATATTTCATTTTTGGAACGATACAATCTAGATAACCATCGAGCACCGTGGATTCTATTTGAAGGCTACTTTCATAACGAGACGATTACATGTGCAATTTGGCCAACAATTAAATACTACATTACATTTGGTGACTATACTTGTAATACTTAGTTCCGTAGTATAAATAGCCCTTAAGGCTCTCGTTTTAGACTAAGCTTATTTTGATATTAAGAATGAAAACTCATTGTGAGTGTTTAGGATAATTCCTATGTTGGTTGATTACTTATTAATGTGAACATGGATTGATTCCCCTTGAGGGTTTTGGTTCAATTAAGTCTAAACTGATTGAGTATTTGTTTATATTCAAATGCTCTTTCAATTTTCTTAGTTGATTCTCTAAGAAATCTCTATCTTTCTATCCTTTTAGTTGTATTCTTGTTATTTTGCTTCTACGTTCGTATAATGGACAACTGATTTGTTACGTGATGTGTGACTTAAATATCCAGAGACAGAGAAATTATAGAGCTTCTCGAAAGATGTTGCTTTCATATGGCTGATGCTGCTGATCAATTCAACCCTGCAGAGTAATGGAGTTTCCAAGCTTACTTGCTCAGATAATGTGTTTAACCACAAGAAAAGAACAAGGACCTTCATTTCATGGTCCAATTGTAACAACAAGAAGTAAGATTTACAAGTGGAAATTTATTTTACCAATCCAACCCAATGCTTGTGACTCTATATCCTGTTTCTTCTCTCACTAGTTAATAGAATAGAGTGAATTTCAAGTCCAAGTTCCATTTTATGCTAATGGCGAGTGCCTGTTGTTGGGTGCGTGAACAAAATCCCACTTAGAAAGCTGGAAAAAAAATGTTCTGCTTATAAGGAGTTGGATACTCTTAATGGTGTGAGGCCTTTTGGAGAAAACCGTTCGGCCCTGGCCAAAGCTGATAAACACTCAAGAAAGGGGAGCGAGGGAGAGAAAGTAAATAAAATCAGCATGACCATGTTAAGACTGATCACCACTCATACAATTCACTAACAGAGTATTGAACTCATAATCAATAGATATACAAATATATCTGATTGAGTTGGCTGAAGGTGAAGAAATTTAAACATACAGAAGTGAAGGCTCCTATCCAAATTAGCAATCTGACCTGTTGCTTCAGGAGTTTTGGCATTGCTAATAAGTTGACTACCAGATCTGTTGTTTGTCAATAGACGGATTGCAATCAGAACCTCAGTAAACAGAAGTTCAGCTGAGGCAACAATCTGTTTTTGATTTAATCACTAGGGGTCGTTTGGTAGGTTGTATAAGAATAGTGCGGAATAAGGTGTACAGGCTCAGATTAGATAGAGTAAAAGTAGCAAAAGCCATGTTTTCTCGCACCTCATTCACTTCTAGTTGTGTTCAATCCTGATACACATATGGGATAATATGTGAAATAACAATTCGGAGCATTAGTAATACATGAATTGAAACATCCAAATAACAAAACTAACTCTCATAATAATCGACAAACTTTTATTTTCTATTATTTCAAGCAAAGTTGGAGGCCGAAAGCTAAGGCTATAAATACAACATATATTAGGAGAAACCTTAGAATATATATATATATATGGAGGCTGAGCTATGCCTTTGGCATTGTGAATTTTCTGTTGGTGGATAGAAACTTCTGTCGTAGCTCCGTCGCATCGCCGTCATTGAAATGTGTTTCTGGGATCCAGTTTCCAGTCTTGGGATCTCTCATCCAAAATATCTCCTTCCCTACACTTTTCTCAATATTACTTTTCTCAATATTGTTTGAAGAAGAAGAAGAAGACGACGACTCGGCCACCTTCCTAATATTGGAAGCAACAGGCCGCCCTTTTACAGTCTCTGCTGCTACTGTGTATCCTCTCCTGCACCCACAAAAAATAGCTAATTACTCCACTGTTCCATTCATGTTTGAGTTTCCACAAACTCATTTTTAAAGAGATTTTTGAAACTTGTGATTTTAAATATGTCAAGATATTTATACGGCTATAGCTTATAAATTGAGAAATTTAATGTTAAATTATTTTCAAAATATGTAAATCTGTCATTCATTGGAAGGGGAGCCTTGGAGAATTGGTAAAGTTATCTCTGTGTGACTTATAAATCACTGGTTCAAGGCGTAGAAGCAGCTATTAATGCTTGCATTAAGGTAGACTGTCTATATCATACCCCAAAGGGTGCGGCCCTTTCCCGGACCCTGAGTTTATACATGATATTTTGTGCACCAGACTGCCATTTTTTATAAATCTATCGTACTTTCTGAACGGACTAAAAAGTAAGCAATGTTACACAAACGGGAAAAGAGGGAGTAATAGTGTTCACATGTTCTTGTGAGAATAAACGTTCAAAAAAATAAAAATGGCGTGGTTGGAAAGGTAGTTTGATCTCTAACCTGAGATCAAGAAGGAGATTAAAGCTGCTGAAGGGAACCCTAGGCATGATGAAGAATTTTGAGATGCGTTACAGATTGAGATGGTGTGTGTGTTTTTACGTTTAATATAAAGCTGTATATATATATATATATATATATATATATATATAGGCAAGGCAGGAGACATGAGTCAAGAAGAATTATTAGTACAGTAGGACTTGGAAACACTTTGAGATTCGAGAGAGAGATGACTTGAAACGCAAACTATAAGATTCTGATGAGAAAATGGGAGAATTTCTAATAGTTGATGGTTACGTAATTTAGGGATTAATTAATTATAACTTCGTCCTAGAAAGAATGAAGATTTTGGAGCATCGAATCAGTGATGGTTTAGAATCTTGAACATGATTATTTATTTTTTAAACAATTTTTTTGTATTTACATATATTCAATTCAGGAAAAATTTGAGAATTGTTTCGATACATGTATGGGGCATCCCACTTTTACAATTTGAGTGGCTTTTTTATTGCGGTAAGAATATTGCTCTTATTCGATATGAAGAGCTACCATCAATTGATGCTCCAATATATGATCCTTTCCTTAATTACTATAGTTCTATCGCATGATGATTGATGACCCACCCCCCACCCCTACCCCACCCCCACCCAAAAAAAAAAAAAAAAAAAAGAAACTTCTACATTCTGTTGATCTGATCTCCAGAATTTCAACTTTGGATTTATACCAATTTTGGGATTGAAGACTTTGTTTGGGGTATCATGCTTTGTTTTATTCTTGTCGAGATAGTCACATGAAAATTGAAAATTATAGTACTGACATTAATCCTAATTACTAGTAGTCATAGAGAATGCTTGTCAAAAAAAGAAAGAAAAAAATTAGGAATAGAAAAATAAATTTTTTGGATTGTGGATAGTATTTATAGGTAGCAATATGTTATGTTATGTTAAATTCAGATTGGTTTGCTGGTATTATATTAGCTCTCTCCATGTTTTGAAAAGCTTGACTAATATGGAGCTTTTATGTTAAATTCAATATAGCTCTCTCTATTGAATGAGCTTTTATGGAGCAGGTGCTGAATGCATTGGCTTTCCAGAACAGTTTGTGAGATGATCATGACATGTATGCAAAGTGTCACATATTTAGTATTGGTTAATGGTTCATTGACACAACCATTTGAAGCTAGGAAGGGGCTGAGGCAAGGGGATCCATTATCTCCATTTTTATTTGTGCTGGCAATGGAATATTTGACAAGGAACCTAAAGACTTTGAACCAGATTTCAGACTTCAATTATCATCCAAGTGTGAAAAGTTGCAAATTTTGCAACTTGGTTTTGCAGATGACCTTTTACTTTTTTTGCAAGGGTGACATATGATCAATCAAGCTACTTTATAACTGCTTCATGGAATTCTCAAAAGCTTCAGGATTGGTGATTAACAAGAATAAAAGCTCAATCTTTTTTTGAGGGGTATCACAAGATGCCCAAGAAGCTATTCTGCAATTTCTGGGAATCAAAAAAGGAGAACTGCCAGTTAGATACCTAGGAGCTCTCCTAAGTTCTAAGAGAATATCAGCAGTTCAATGCTAGCCGTTAATTGATAAAATAGTCGGCAGAATAACCTCATGGACAGCCAAATTCCTATCTTATGCTGGAAGTCAATTGATCAAAAGTGTACTGTTCTCTACTCAAACTTACTGGGCACAAATCTTTGTGCTCTCAAAGAAGATCACTAAACTAATTGAGGCAATATGCAGAAGTTTTTTGTGGACAGGGGAGGGCAATATCTCCAAGAAAGCATTACTGGCATGGGAAAAAGTATGTCTGTCCAAATCAGCAGGGGGTTTCAATATTATGAGCATCACACTGTGGAACAAATCAGCTATATGTAAATAATATTGGAACCTATGCAAAGAGAAGAACAAACTTTGAATTCAATGGATGCACAGTTACTACATCAAAGGCAGGAACATATGGGAAGTCCAACTGAAGCAAGCATCATGGATGATGAGCAAGATTATAAAAGCAAAGAAGACATTTGAGGAAGCAGGCTTTAATCAAGAAGACATAAAAAAGATGAACCACTGTTCAATTAAGCATATATATCACAAGCTGAGAGAAAACTTCAGCAAAGTGAGTTGGAGAAGAGTTGTATGCAATAATGCAGGCTGCCCTAGGTGGACTTTTATACTAACACAACACATGGCAAGTTATATACCAAAGACAGACTGAGCAAAATCAGGAGTGCGTTCTGTGCAGACAAGCAAGTGGAATTATTTAGCACTTATTCTTTGAGTGCTCATATGTAGCTGAATTGTGGGGTAATCTGCTAGCTTGGCAAAGGATAAGAAGACCAGTATATGGATGGGCTGAGGAGCTAGCATGAGTTTTTTTGATTTACTTGTAAATATTTCCCTGGTAAATGAAAGTTTTTTTAATTACCAAAACAAAAAAGCTTGACTAATACTGCTCATCTGTCATATTCAACAATTAATAGATGAGAAGTGATTAATCATAACGTGTAACACGCTTCCTCTACTTTCATCCACAACCTCTCATTCCACTAACTAAAGACCCCATACGGTACGTTAACCAATCAACTTAATTCTCCCTAACAATCTCGTTTGTTCCGAATATTTTTAACTGGCATAGTGAAGTGCTATTATAAAGAACAAATATAAAGAAACTTGTTTGTTATAGCTATTAAAGAGACCAAACAAGGGTTGTGGTTGAGTGGTAAGTACTCCTTCATCCTTGACGAGAGGTCTCGGGTTCGAGTCCCTCGGTGTGGAGTCGTCTTTGTTAGGGAGCGCTTTACCCCCCAATATAATGTGGGACTTCTCGGCGCGAATTCGAATTTAGTCGGGCCCCAATGTGGGCACCGAATACCGGGTGAAAAACCAAAAAAAAACTATTAAAGAGGAGTTTGACTGTAAATATTTCCTTCATTCTACTCTATATGACATGTTACTTTGTTGTTGTGGTTACTCTATCTGACATGATTTTAAGTACTATTTTTATGTGAATAAGAACATAGAATCTTCAAAATTTTAATTTAAAAATAAAACTAACAAATCCAGAAATAACATAAAAATATTTTTTAATTTCATGTTTGGGTTATTGCATAGTCAGCTAGTTACTGATATTCTCGCGATGCAAGCACAATATCCTAAGTTTAAATACCAAAACCAAATGGAAACAAAAGCTAGTACTTCCTCCGTTTACTTTTATTTGTTCATTATACTAAAAATATATTTTCACTTTACTTGTTAATTTTAGAAAATTAAGAGAAAATCATATTTAGTTATTGTTTTACCCTTATTATTAATTATTCATTATGTTCAGTTTAACATTTCATGGCCGGTAAATAGCTCAATTATTTCAGTATTGATATCCAGCTTTGCCTTGCTTGTGTGTGTCTAAGCAGCCAAAACTCAAGAAGGCCTTCAGTTTAATTTTGGGCCTGACGAGTTAATTTGTTTGATGCGAGGCCCAAAAATGACCAGATTTGGTTTTCTTTGGTTTTGGGCCTAATTTCAGGCCCAAGAGTCATCTGCCTCAGCCCTTTTCTTTTTTTCCCTTTTGCCCTAAAAAATGGCTTGTGATGTAGAGCTCATCATATGGCTGGGCCTCTTTCTAGCCCAACTAAACCGCTGGGAAGGGCTGATTTTCCATTCCAAGTCGTGGGCTCAACCTCAAATCCAGCCCAATGTGTTTTTGTTAAATCATCAGCTGGTCCACAGTTGGTTTAATCTTGTTGAGCCCGTTAATTTATCTCAATGCTTTAGATTAATTTTTGAGTTAGATTAATCAAGAACTTTATAATCCTCTAATTGAACGTAGTTTTTTTCTTTAAAATAGAGTGAGGTGTGCCATCCATAATTAAATCACCCATGGCTCTCACAAATATTATAATTAGATATTAAAAATGAATATCCGTAGAAAAGCCTTTAGGCGCGTTTAAAATACTATTGTGCTTGTGTACACGTTCGCGTGATATAATTACGATTCTAAAAACCAATTCGGAGTATGCGTTCGCGCAACTTCGACCAACTTTTTAATAATAAAATTGTTATTAATAAAGTCCTCTTTAATTAAATGTAGTTCTTTAGGCCAAGGTGTGCCATCCATAATTGAATCCCTATGGCCCTCGTGTTAATTTTATAACTTAGATATTGAAAATGAATGTTCGTAGTTCGCTTTAGGCACGTTTAATATACCATCGTGGTTGTGTACACGTTTGCGTGACATAATTACGATTCTAAAAACAAAACCGGAGTATGCGTTCGCGCAACTTCGGCCAAACCTTCTTAATAATAATAAAGCAATTATTAATTGTGGACAGGTTCGCGTGACATGATTTTTGACGTGCCAAACAAACGGGTACACTAGGGGTGGGCATCGGTTGGTTTGGTTCGGTTTTGAATATTATCGGTTTTGCCTATCGGTTATCGGTTTACAAATATCATAACCCGATAACCAAACCGATAAGATATTGGTTATCGGTTATCGGTTAATCGGTTATCGATCATTATCGGTTCAGTTATCGGTTTACCCGATAAGATAAAACAACTAAAATAATTTCGCAATATATAAAACTGTCGAGTTCTCAATTATCTTGAGCCAGAAGTCAAGAAATAGATCAGATTTCCGTTGTCTTTAACAACTTTCTGATGCATGAATATAGGATTACAAAGGTGGAATGGAATATGATTGTATTGTTAATAAAACGTGGTCTTGTATCCTTAAGAACAGTTAAACAGAAGTTTACTGCTTAGGATTCTTAATATTCCAAAAAGAGAAACACTTGTTAAAATTATAAGTGGATAATGCAACAGCACCAAATTTATACATTTCTTGTCAAAGTCCATTTCATTTCTCATAAAACAGAATCTCCAAAAATGTTTAAAGACTAGACAAACGATTAGAACAATATCTCAAACAATAGCAGCGCGCACACACAGCACAACCCCCCCCCCCCCCCCAAAAAAAAAAATCCAGAGCCAGAATGCTTTCAAACAAACTAAGAAAAAGATGAAGATGAAGCAACTAAAAACTTACACGCCGGCCTGATTCTTGACGGGCTGACTGGTGAGGGCGTGATGCGACTGACAAGTGA